CCAGGAATTATACAGAGCCAGACAGATGCAACATTACTGAAGTACTGATTCCTCATTAGTATGTAATGTAGGGTCTTACAGTCATATCTACATAATAGCAGCTAAGCTTTAAAATTCTGTCAATATTGGGTTGGAATCTGACTTTTTGTGCCATTATTCAGAGACAGAGGATAAAGTCAGAAATCAGGGAGGGAGAGAGTAGGGAACAACATGCTGTACAGAAGCCACAGGTCAGATTCGAACCCGGGCCACCCGCTTTGAGGACCACAGACTCCATACATGGGTGGGCGGGCACTAACCGCCATGCCACTGGCGCCCTTACATATGTTTTTAAGAATGCAACCAACATTTTAGACAAAGTCGAAAGGTCCACTTTTTTAACTGCCTTTCCCCCTCATTAGGTCATACTCCTGCATCTAAAGAAAACGGTAGTATACTGTAAAGTAGATAAACCTTTTGGAGTGCTGGTTTGATTGGAAATACTCATTTAAAGACAACGAGTAACCAGCGTATTTGCAGCCTGTGTTAGCATGTACCGGTAGCTAGTTGGAGTGCAAAGTGTACATGGTGAAAACAGATAATAGAACTACACAGCTTCACAGAAACTGCACTTTGTAGACTTAACCCTAACCCATAGAAATCATCATGAAGGAAGACAGTCTAACCCTCTGAAAGACCCCCCCAAAACAGGTTGCGTCTTATACACTGGTGCGGCTTATATTCCAGATTTAACTGAAAAGGACAATTTTGTTTTTGTTACCTAAGAATGAGGTCTCTGAATCTTGAGAATGAGCAGGTCTTGTCCACTGAGTCTGCCGAGTTGCACCTACATTTTCTACATTAGCGCAGAACTATAAGTAGAGAAGTTCTGCTCAGGGTGGGCTCAACATGCTGGGAAGGGACAGGTGAGGGGTGTCTGTTTGTGCCCCTCTCGTACAGGGAGATGTTTCCTGAGAGTCCTACTCCATGAAGAACATGAAACACTTTCTCTTTGGAAGACGACCTGTGTGACCCATCCATTTGCCATGACTACGACCCAAGTGGACTACATTGGTTTTTCTAAGATATCAACTCAATTCCTGTGTACAGGATGGTTGGACCAGTTTAATCTGAGGGTCTAAAACGGATGAGTCTTAGTTCTTTAAATACACATTACCGAGCATTTCCCTTGTAGGTTTAAGTTAGAACAGTTGATGGAAAGCAGCCTTGTTAGTTAAAACCTCATTGCTAGATGCCACCAAGATCCTTTACTGTAAGTGATTCTGAAAAGTTAACATTTAAACAGAGATCCCACTGTGGAAATACACATTTAAAACTGTTCATACACCAAATGACAAATATTGAACTATAAGATTGAAGATTCTGTAGATTAGACTCAAATTTATTTCCGTTCTGCCGTCTGTCTCTGGAAGAGTGGTGGATGTTTGCAGACGTTAATTAAATAATCTCTCAGAGGCCTGACAGTGGTTTCTCTCCAAGTCAAGCTTTTCACATCGGGGAAGCAGCTCATTGTTCAGTAATCCTCTGAATTAAACCCCAAAACTCCCCTCAGGTTTTGTACATTTTAAGAAAGTCATCACTCTACGATATAATCAAAGAACATCAGCCAACCCTTCATGGAATAATTGAGTTCTGTCATCTTTATAGTTTTAACTCTTAACCTTAGATGTCTTTATTTGTGTGTGTCTAAAATTAACAGAGCTGTCCAAATTAACAAAGAAAATCGTCACAATTCATGGAATAATCCTCAACCGTCCTTCCAATGAGAGAGAAATCAAATGAACGTCTGGAATATTGTGTTGAGTGGACAAAAGCTGCTGTTTTTTTCTCATCCATATTCATGAGCTGGTGGACAATTTGAATCAGTCTCTGAAGACTCAACGACTCATTTAAATCCTCTGACAGATGAAGACTTTCAGCAAGAGGTCCATTGTTGAGGTGTGTACTGTTCATCTTCAGAGAATCTGCATAATCATTTCACTGTTCAGTGTTAAATAGGCTCTGCTAACTGGGGATCCTTTACTATAGCTGCTTTGTCATGGGAGTTTTATAAGCCATTAGTCTGTGAAGTTGACTGCTCGAAGAGACTGCAGAGATCTTTTTTTAAGATGTGAGTTTAAGGTGTGTTATAATTTGCCCTGCACATTTGTATTAATGCGTCCATACCTGCAGGGACTGAGGCAGCTGGAGTTTCAATTTGGGCTCAGTGAACAGTAATCATTTGACCTAATGCAGTGATGGCCTGCTGGTAACTTTGATTTATGACAGAGAAAATGAGGAGCGGCGTCCACCTGTAAATACACATAAACTGTCCTTACTTTCATTAGCCATGTTGACGGTCTCTAAGGGATCGCTATGAAACTTTGTACAGACATCCAAAATGAGTCGTAATGGTTTTTAATGATTCTCTGACTTCAGTTCTATCAACCAACGATTTGAAATATGCAGACAGTCATGAAGCCCAAAGGGTTAATCATATAACTTCGAGGGACAGATTATCTCAATCCTTACTGGATGTATGCAAAAGGTTTGTTGCATCTATTGTGACCAGAGGATGAATCCTGATGACTTTTGTGATCCCCTGATTTCCAAAAGATTATTACTCGTACTTTGGAGTAGATCTCTGGCCAATTTAGATGATTTTACTAAAAGCCTTAGCTGTACTTTGTGTTCTTATAAGTTAACTTTAGCATGCTAATCTAATACGGTCACTATAGAAAGGAAACCAAATGATGTATTTTTGCAGGCCAACCCAGAAGTTAGCATCATCATGGGGTCTTTGGAAAATAGCCTATGGAATTTTTGCATTGGATTTTGGATCACTACAGAAAATGAGCTCAGTGGCAAAAAGCTACCGTTATGCTACAAGCTAACTACACCACGGTCACATGGCTTCAAAGTATCTACCACATCTCAGGATGTCTCTGATAAGCTAACTAGCAGTTTTGACTAGCTAGCGAAAACCGTAGCCTATTAAATTATTTATTCCCCTAATCTTTGCCTTAACTCAAAAATTAAACCTACAGGAGAGTGTGTGTCTACTTGTAACTTCAAACAGAGATGATGACGTTTAATGTCCCCGACAACCTCACTGTAGTCTCATTTAGCCACTTTTTAGCAACCACCTTTTGAAGGACACGTAAAAACTTAAACATTTCCAAAGTCGGGGTATTCACTAACTTGTTCAATGTGGTTCAACAAAACAAGAACATCTCTTTTGCTTGTGTTAACCACAGACCTTATTTTATGCATCTAACCACCAACCCTTTTAAGAAAACCCATTGAGTTTGGGGCAAACGTCCCCATGGTTCCAAAATGCTAACTCACTTCCTGGTTTTAGAGGCGCCCTAATGTAATCATTATACCTGTGTTGGCACCACATGTTTTGGCTGACATTAAGCTCAAAATGAGCAAAAGTGTAGCCTCACCAAGCCTTTCTTTTGGATCACTGTATTCCAATTACATTTGTTTTGAGTAATCCGACATCTCCACACCAGCTCTGCCATATTGTTCGAGATCATTCAGACATAAAGCTGTTTGATGGATGAATTCATTCAATTAAATTTATTTGTTTACAATCGCCATGAGCCAGTGTGGCAAGTTCCTTCTGGTGGTAAATGGATGTATAATTATTCATACCCTTCAACAGATTACAAATGATCCATTGCTCATTTTAAATGATGGATTGGCAACTTATATCGTTCTTCCCTTTTTTCTCCATCATCAGACGCATCAATCAGGCAACTATTCTTTCCCCTGACAGGCTGAAACTGTGATCTTTCATGGCGATCAACACTCTCACCAACCGTTACTTCTCTCCGTTCCCATAAATGACCAGTGAGGCATCTGTAAATCACTGCCCGGGAGTCATAACTTTGTGCCGCTTCCTTTATAAGGACTTTTGAACCTGTCTCGGCTGATGCATTTAAATGGGCTTCATGTCAGGAAGTGGACATCAACAGTGGCGTACACTTACAGAGAGACAGTATAAATCTGTTTGAAGTTCAAGGATGAATCTTTTTTTATTAAAAGCTTTGTGTTATGTTCATAGGTCATTCTAAAATCCCAAGTACACCCACAATGTATTTCTAAGCTCTGGGGACATGACCAATTGAAATTAAACCATGGGGACAGATTTATAAATAGTCAACCGGTTATTAACATGAATTTAGAGTAATTGCCATAATGTTCCTGGGCGATTTTAGGTGCCCACGCTTTAGAAGATTTGGAAAAACACTTGGCTTGAATCCAAGCTCTCTGATTATTTTGTTTGCCTAATCTGACTTTGTTTTGAATGCATCACCATGTTCCCAAAATGAAAAAGCTAACCATCAAAGTGGTAACCACCATAGTCAAATTTACTTAGACTGATTGGGATTCCATTCATTTTTCATTCCATGGAGACCTTTCCAAGATTCGTCGAGATGAGTTAATCCTTGAGTTAGCCCCAATGGTTGGTTTAATCCACTGTAGACCCATCTATAATTCATCTATTTATTATTTGGCTTCCAATGTTGGTTCAAAGATCTCCACATTTAAAAATCCACTCCGCGCCCATTCCAAGTTAAAGCTGAACTATAGCAGTTACTTTTATCCATTTCGGCTACTTGGTTTGGAGCAAGATATTTTGGTAAATACATTGTTGCCGTTATCAACGCATACGAGGTCTAAAGCTAGGAAAACAAAACCCAATAATAAAACTGTTTTATCTTTTAATCCAGCCATGATCTCAATCTCCAGACGAACAATTTTCTTTGGCCACCAACAGCGGCTGTAAACTCAGCAAGAGTAATGATCTCTATGCTTAAAATCTCCTCCCCTCATCTCTTTGGCTCATCTTCATTTGGTGAGGTGACTGTGGAGGGCAAGTTAAAGGAACACCATGTCTTCCTGTTTCGCTTCTCACTCCGACACATCATTCGTCTTCCCAAGACGGGTAATTTGTCACTGTTGATTTGTGTAAATGATCAGCATTTAGAAATAAAATGTAGTGGGTTTACCTTCAGCACAGTGGATCCCAGCTCCAGACCCACCAACACCGTCCGGTCCACCAACTCAGCTATTCTGGGGTCGGCCACTTTCAGGGAGTCCTGGACCAGGTCTGTAACGTCCACCTGCCAGTCGGGCCCAAGCATGGTGATGACCTGGTCAGTGCCCTCTGTTGAGGTGGTGTGGAACTGGGTCAGCACCTTGACCAAGGCCCGCTGGTACTGCAGGGTGCATCCTCGACTAACACGGCGCTCGTCGTCTTCTTCGTCTGCGTCGCTGTCTCTGGTGCTCCTTGGGGGAAAGAGAAATGAGGATTTAAATGAAAAGAAAAAAATACATTGAAAGTTCAAAATGTGACATTCAGAGTAGATGTCCAGTAGATGTGGCTCCGTAAGCGCCAGTCTCTCAGATCAAAACAAAACTTTTCTTTGGCCATTCATCCTCTGCCCTTCAACTCATCGATTCCCATCCTCCCCCACCCCTCCCTCAGTGTTTCAACCGGGTGCAGCCTTTTGTAGGACTGATATGCAGCCCAAAGATAATTCAGTTCTCATTTCAGTTTTGTATTTTAGACCAGAAACATATTTTTCTTCAGTTCGCATCGAAGGCCCATTGGTTCTCTTGCAACTGTACTCTTGCGAGGATACTTCACCATTACTGCATGAACAGCGTCCTTGAGTGGGCGGGGCCGTCTCTCTTCCAACACATGGTGAAAGGGCTAACAGTTTGAGAGCGAGGAGTCCACAAACACTAACAAGCTGAAGGAAGTGCTGTCCCATCAGTTTGAACACAGAGCTGAGAACAACAAACCCAGAGGGA